AACGAGCAGCTGCTGCTACAGATACAAAGTGAGTCTCATCTTCAAGCTTAAAAGGGATTTTTCAACCAAAAATAAGAAAAGTATGATAGTTTTCAGTTTTAGGTGAACTATTCCTTTGAACCCAAACACATTCTGGGGGGGGAAAGGGACTTAATATTAGTAATAAACTATTATTATTTTTTTGTGATATAACATATTTCCTCTGCAAAATATGGATTTTCAACAAAAAAATTGTAAAATGGTAGATAAATTATTAATCTCATTAAAGCAACAGGAATAGCTTTCTGCTGGCGCTTGTACTTACCCTGCCAACGTTTGATCTGGCCCCAACACATGAATGAATAAGTTTTTAACTAATTTTAATATTTATTTGTACATCTAATTATTTACATTTACCTTTCATTATTAATTTATATATATATATACATTTTATTATTTATGTATATGTATACATTTTATCGTTTACTTTTATTTCATAATTTGTTTCCGTTTTTATATTATACTATTATAATATTTTACTATTTTTATTTCAGTTTACATTTTCATTTAGTCATTTTCTTATTTCTTTATTTTCTTTATTTATGTATTTGATTTAAATTTAATTGAAAAGATTAAATGTTATGTATTTTTTTCCTTCACAAAGATCATTTGCAGTAATATTATACAAGATATTCCATAAATTCATTAACATTTTTTCTGGAAAATGATGGCATACATAGAAAAAAAAAACATTACTGTTTGGTGTGTGATTCTCATCTCATTCTTACTGATGCCAACAAGTCTTGTCACTTTGATAAAACCTCCATCCATATCAGCCAGTTTAAATATTTTACCTACCTGACAAGTTTAAAAAGATATTTTACAACCAAATGTCAAGTTTGTGAGGTATAAAAATGCATGTACATTATCAAAAAATGTAAGATATAGGGCAAGCAACAGATCTACGCTTTGGCCAGCTGGCCATCCTTATGTTGAGTTCTGCTTATGCATATCTCACGTTTCTTATGTAGGTTATCATTATTCTTGTGTACTAAAACACAGACTCTGCGTTTGTGTCTCAGATGTGTTTGAGGAGCTGTCTGTAGCTGTGCAGGAGAAGGACTCTCTTTCATCAGAGCTTCATGTACGGCACATAGCCATCGAGCAGCTCTTCAAAAACTGCGCCAAGCTGCCGTGCCTCCAGATCGGGCGGGCGGGGGTCAAAGCTGGCAACAACCCAGTGGAATGAGCGCTTTTTGGGGACAACAGAGTCCCTCAAAGACCAGACAGAAAGCGCAGCTCCAAGCAGACTCTCACGGAAGCTCAAAGCTCAAACGGACCGGAAACGCACAACACTGTGCTAATGAGTTTAAAGTCACCTCGCTCTAAAAGGTGGCATCTGAATTTTCAGCAAAAGTATGCACTTTGAGAGCAAAAGTGTTTTGCGGACCTGTCCAACGTGTTTCTATGCAGAATGAGGTGTTTTTAAAGGGGTCATTTGATGTTGCTAAAAAGAACATTATTTTGTTTATTTGGTGTAATGAAATGTGTTTATGCGGTTTAAGGTTCAAAAAACACATTATTTTCCACATAATGTACATTATTGTTTCTCCTCTATGCCCCGCCTTTCTGAAACGCTTTTTACAAATCTCATCGGTCTGAGCGAGGTGTGCTGTGATTGGCCAGCTATCCAGTGCGTTATGATTGGCCGAATACCTCAAGCGTGTGACGGAAATGTTACGCCCCTCACATACTGTGATGATGCCCTGTCAGGCCGGAGCGATGATTCAAAACATGAAAACCCATTATAAACGAGGCATTTGTTGCATCCAGTGAGGACATAATTATGGATTATAATGACTTATACTGTCTTTTTACGCGTTGCGTTGCATCGCGCCGCGTAAACATAAAACCATGTCTGCATTTGTGATCGGAGAAATGACAAACAACAAGCCCTACTCTACACTGCCCAAAAAACTCGCTTTAAATATAAAAAATATAAAATATAAAAACTCTTTAAATATAAAAAACTTACTTGCAGTCCGTGGGTCAGAACAGCCGTCATTGTAGTCTACTCTCACAGGATCAGTAAACATTCCTCCATAAAATGTGCTGCACATATCTGAATATTTGGGTTGAAGTGTTCTGGAACAATGTTGTAAATACAACTTAACAACAACAATACTACAGCGAGAATAAAAGTTACTCCTTCTTTCTTTGTGTGAACATTTGGGCGGTGTTATGCAAATCTTCCCACATAGTGACGTAGGTATGTGGGGGTGTGTTAGAACGAGCCGTTTTAGGTAGGTGTGGCTGACTCTTAACTTTTATAAAGAATATCTCTTTGGATCTGAGACTTTAGTCTTTGCAACTTTACAGATCTTCTTTATGCACCAAGAGCTTGTAACACTCCACAGAGAAAGGAAAAATTGAAATCGCATCATATGACCCCTTTAAAACTTTACAAAGACTTGTTTTAATTTTTTTCTTTTGTTGTTCCATTCGTATATGTTCATCTTCATATCACTGTTTACTCTTTACACTTGATCACTTTGGGTGCTTGGATGAGTCTGACAGTGTTCCTCCTGCACAGTCAGGCTTGCTGATTGGTTGTGGTGTTGCTGTGGTAACTGTTGCTTAGTTAACAGTTTCTTCCCTCCGTCTGCTCATTGCAGTGGAACTTGTTAATGACTGTAGTTGTTCCGTTACTCTAAGGCACATTTCTCCTGTTGTTCTGAGGTTCAGCACAAATGCTTTAGTGGAAGTTTACATGTTTTTTGTTATTTCACTCTTAAAACTGTGTTCTGACATTTCATAGGTGCTTTTTCCCCCATCACAACATTTCACGGGTTATGATTAAGAAAATAGCAGTTTGGACATTAAAATTTCAGCTGGTATAGTTTGGTCATTCACAGATGTTAAGCACAGGCCTAACTTTGATTTAGGCTTAACTCGGTGCTGGGATTAATATTGGAGAGAGAGAAATGCTCAACCAAAGCCTTTCAGTATTTATTTTGTTAGGACAATTATTTGCTTGTTGCAAATATTTAAAACCTTTTTTTTTTTTTTTTTAATGTGTGGTTTTCATTTTTGTAGTGTTTAGAGGTTGTTTTTTTATGCTATTATAGTATTTAGGGTCAGTGCATAAACTGAAAGTATAGTCAGGGGAAAGTGAGCCTTTACCCTGCTGCCTTGATTTCAGATCAGACTGTGTTGCCACGTGGTGGACACTCAGAGGATCCTGTCCACTTGCTGCCCTGATGTGTGCATGGTTAAGTGTCTATTATCTTTAGAATCTTTAAAAAAAAAAAAAAAAAATGCAAGCTTCAACATTGTTTTGAGAAATCAGCTAGGTATTTTGAATTATCTGTTCTCTTTATAAGAGATACATATTCGACTGACCCCTCTGGGGTTTCTAAGGATATTTTATTTTGTATGAATGTTATTTTGGTTATGCTCTGAGAGGTCACGTCAGCAAACTATCACTGTGAGTAGTGATGGATAAATTGTCGAAAAGAAGCAATATGTGTCCGAAGTGTTGTAAAAAATGTTTTAATCTTTTTTAAGGTTCACTCTGTGATTTGGCATACAGGTGGTTGGAGTTACTGAAATAATGAAGCACACTGCCCAAATGTTTGTTTGCTGTGGAAATACTGAATGAACTACATGAGATGGACTAGTTTCATGTTTGTCTCGAGTGTGTTGCATATGTAGGCCATGTGTTTAAACTTGCTTATGTTGGTGTTATTGATGTCTTATTCTTTTTCTCTGTTTATTCATTGCTTGTCTTATTATCCCGCCCCCCCTTTTTTTTAAGATGAGTTAGTTTTTTGTTCTCTCCAGTGGCCTGTGTTATGTGACATTCAAGTGGTTTATGCAATACTGTTTGTTAGTGGATCTTCGCATCAGTTTAGAAGATTTCTGAATGCTTTTGTTTGAAGTGATGTGCACATTTTCATTTTAGGGAATGGATTAATAAAAATATTTATCCTAAAAAACTGATTCTTTTCATTTCATTTACTAGTTCACCAGCAGGCTGATAGGATTGTAAAAACCGTTTTGGACTGATTATCTGATCTTAAAGGGAAAAAAAAAAAAAAGTTGTTGCTCTTGTCAGCATTATAAATGGTTTGCTGGAAAACTGAAAAGATAAAAGGGTTACCCTTTAATTTAAAGTGACATTGTAACAGTCTAATTACGCATTTATGTACTTACTATAAGGTTAAGGTTAATGTTAGGGTTTGGTTTAGGATTGGTTGTAATTATGCATAATTTACTGTTATAACTATAGTAAGTACACGTAATGTGTAACTGTCAAGTGTTACTGTACCAATACAAGTCTTCATAATCACATACCAGTATTTTGCATACCAATATTATTTGAAAGACAAAATATATACACAAATACATTGCAAAACAATTCAGTTTAAGCTAGAACATAAGAGGTTGCCTTTGTATTTCTAGGTCCTTTCTGGCCCAGTTTTATTCCTTCTCCACTAAAAATCTTCTCTTGTTTCTCAGTCTCTGATGATAATCGTTTTTTTTTCTTTCTTTTTTTTGTCTTTATGCTTCCTATTTCTTATTTATATTCCTATTTGGTAACTTCCAGTAAAAACAATACAAAGAAGTATAACCACCTGTAAAAATATATATATTAACTATAATGTATTATTTATTGTAGATAATTTAAATGTTGATTTATTTCTAAGATAGACACTGCAGTTAATCATATTTTTACTGTAAAAATATTTATTACTGATCCCCCACAGAAGGTTTGTCGTTTTGTTTTCTAATGACATTGGAGGCTAAAACCAAGTTGCCACTGAAAAAATGTAGTAACAATATCTGTAGTGGCTACGGTATTTTGATGGAAACTATGGCTATCATAGTTTATTTTTTTGAGTTTTGTATTGTGCGATATATCAATATCATCACGAACAGAAATGCAGCTTTTGAGCGGTTCCGCGCTGCACATCTTTGGTTCCGCCTCCAGCACGCGCGCACGCCGGAAGTTTGGATTTTGTTGTTACACTGGAACTAAAATGGCTGCTGTGAGTTTTTTTCATTGAAGGCACTGGCACATTTATTCCGCTTCTTGCTTTGGATTTCCTGTCTGTGGTGATGCAACTCGATTGGCAAGTCGGTTCTGATGTTTGTCGCCATTGTCCCGTTCTGCCCCGCTCTGTCAGCTGGTCGTGTTTTGTGGAGTTGTGCATTTTAAGTGAGCTGTTAGCTGTGGTTAGCCAGCCTGTCGTCTGCTGAAGCTGCAGTGCTGAAGTTTGCCTTCTTCTGCTGGGCTCATATTCCCTTGCATTTCATGAATGCTTGCTATTTATCGCTATTGCGTTCTCTAACACATACTTTGTCATCATCCTGTTGAAGTTCGCCACATTTGTTTCGCAGATGTTGTGACTGCATACACACACAGATGCATAACTGTTTGAATGAGCTGAGTTCATGTCTCAAACTCTGTGTATTCGCCTTCATACGCTTGTCGTTGGGGTTGAGTTTTGAATGGAAACTGACAGCTGACAGGGAAATGCACCCGGGAGTGTGTTCCTGAACTGTCTCTCTGATCTCAGGGCTTGAATGGTGTGTTTGTGGAGGTGACAGTGCTGGTGTAACACAACATCGCCTCCTGTCACGCAGCAACCACAATGGTAAGAACTACAGGTTTGTTTTAATGATGCATTTTTAGCAGGATTGGGTTTTATTTAACATTATGTATTTGATTTGATCATATTTGACATTTTCGATGGCTTGTTTGGACAGTATGAGAGATTATCTTATGCATTTTCATTCATCTTTCTTCCACAGCAACAAGTCTTAGAGTATGCATTGGATCGGGCTGAGGTATTTGTTCAAAATTATTATTTCTGTATTATTTTATTGCGTACTTTATACTTATTGTACATAATGTTTTTTATTTGTATCCATTATAATGTACTGTTATTTTAAAAATGTCAGTTAAGAAATCACTGTGCAGAAGAATACCTGTGTGTATTCTATTACCGTTCCATAACATTGTTATTTGTTGTTTAGTACATTGTTGAAAGTGCTCGTCAGCGACCTCTGAAGAGACGGGTATCCTCAAGTGGAAGGAAATCCTTATATCAGAAACTTTATGAATTGTACATTGAAGAGTGTGAAAAAGAACCAGTGTTGAAGGTAATTTTCACCCGATGTAACACATAACAAATGAAGTAGCATTCACAATCATCTTTACTGCCATCATTTTATATATTTCTTAACAAAACAAGACATTAAGTGAGGTAAAACTGTAGGGTGGGATTTTATAACTTTATCAAATCATGTTTTATTATTATTGCATTATATATATTTATTATCCTTTGTGCCCCCTTTCTGTAGAAACTGAGGAGAAATGTGAATCTACTAGAGAAGCTGGCCTCACAGGAGTCAGTCTCATGTCTGGTGGTCAACCTGTACCCTGGAAATGAAGGATACTCACTTATGCTAAGAGGAAAAAATGGATCTGGTACTGTCTGCTTTTTCTTTGTTTTATGGTTAAATCAGCTGAGCTTTTCATGTTGCATGTTAAGAAACTCGCTCTTGAACTGATGTTTTTATCCCAACCGATAAGATTCAGAAACAATCCGACTTCGCTATGAAGAAACCGAGTTACTGGAGTACCTGGATGCAGAGGAGCTGCCACCCATTCTTGTAGACCTTCTAGAAAAATCACAGGTGAGTGGCGTAACTGAACAAAAATGTAGATTTTTTTATGTGTAGCCTCTTTGTTTTTTTTGTTTTAATTTGACACTTTTTCTAATTTCTGCTATCCATGACATTTTAAATATTTTACTTTTAGTGAAATATTTATATTTTATATAATTTTATTTATATCTATAAACAGCCTGTCCGAAATAATATTCAGAACAACAGTGTTATTGTTAACTAAAACTGTTATTAAATAGTTTTTGGTAAAGCTGATATAAAATATTTATACTTAACCGAAAATTAAAAATATTGCTTTGGCAAGCGACTAAAATAAAATAAGTGGAATTACTAAAATTACTAAAACTGAAATAAAATAAAGCTAATTAGAAATCTAAAAAATAATGACAAAAGCACATAACAAATGGCTATATCTAAAATTAACTTTAAAGTATAAAAATAAAAGCTAAATTAAAATATTAATAAACACTACTACAGTAAATAATAATACTAAAATAATACTGGTTCAGAATTGATTCTAGATGTGATTTTAATTTAATTAACCTATGTTTTTCTTTAATTCCAGCCAGCATAGTTTTATAGCACTCTGACGAACTGATGCATAAACCACCAGTCTAGATTTATTTTTCTGCTTCTGTTCTGTCAGGTGAACATATTCCACAGTGGCTGTGTCATAGCTGAGGTCAGGGACTATCGACAGTCTGGAAATGCAAAGATGCCCACCTACCAGAGCCGGCACATCCTGCTGAGACCCACTATGCAGGTTAATAACCGACCTGATCTGTGACCAGCAGTCTCTGTTCTGTATTTTGAGAGACCTTTTTTTCTATAGTATTGTTATTAAGTCATCTATCATCTCCCCACCAGACCCTGATCTGTGACGTTCATGCTATGACAAGCGATCACCACAAGTGGACACAGGTGACTCTATCTGTTAGCATTCAAAACTTTGAGGTCAGTAAAGTTATTAAAAAATGTTGACAGAAGTCTCGTATGCTCATCAAGCAATACTGTGAAATATTATTACAATTTAAAATAACTTTTAATAATAAAATAACTTTTCAGCAGCCATTACTTCAGTCTTCAGTGTCACATGAGCCTTCAGAAATATTTCTAATATGTTGATTTGCTGCTTAAGAAATGCTTATTATTATTATTATCAGTTGAAAATGCTACCTGCACTATATCAAGTTCAGAACAGTGTTGTTATTGTTTACTAAAACTAATATTAAATTGTTTTCGTTAATTGAAATAAAACTGAAATAATATAAAGTGTTTCCCCTGCCATTATATTAGGGGGGCGGCCCGCAAAAAGACTATTTAAAAATGAATTCTGCATGTCTCTGTGTTATGAATGGTGCAGACGCGCGGTTTTGTTTACTACTTGTACTGAAGCACGCGTGACTCTTCCGGTGATATTAGCGTCTGCCGTCTCACTAATGAGGACATAAATACATGAACATCTCCAGAACTGCTCTGAGAGTCACTTCATGAGCATCTGACCGTTTCGTTTGAGTAAAACTATCCTCATCATATCATATACACACAAAAATTTAAAGGTATTCATGGCAACCCGTCAAAATAAAAGTTTAGTTTACCTTGAAGTCATTGTGGCAGAAATAGCCAACATTACTATTGTTCAGTAGAATGTATGTAATAGGCTACTACTAAAATTATTAAAACCTTATTTTTAAGGGATAATCATACAATATTTCTTCAATGTTTTTAATTGTAATATTAAATCCCCTTTATTTTTCAAAAAATACAATTTGTTTAATTTATATTAATTAAAAGATAAATTAAATGAATGTTTTATGCCTTAAAAATCGCAATACACTACACAGAATTTCTGAGGAAAAAAATCATAGGGCTATTGTAAGAATAAATGAAACTTGTTTTTATGCTTTCAAATAATTAGCCATGCAAAACAGAATTTGGTAACAATAAAACATAAGGTTGGAAAAAATAAAACATTTCATAGGGCCCTAAACATGTAATTTTTGTTAAACTTTCAATAAATTGGTGTTAAATTATTCAAGTTTCATGATTTTAATTAGCTAGACATGCTTTTTGATTAATAACATTTAATTTAACCATTAAAAAGGAGTCCAGAAAAGTTAAAACGGGAAAAAAACGGAATCCAGCACCCCACCCCTCCACCCCCCAAAGCCGAAAACCTAGGGGAAACACTGATATAAATATTAACTGAAATATGAAAATTTAGAAATTAAAAAAAATAGAAATGTTGCTTTGGCAACTAACTAAGTTGAAGTTGAAATACTATAATTACTAAAACTGAAATAAAAATAAAAGAAAGCTAAATGGAAATAAAAAAAAAATAGAAAAAATAATAAAAATTACTAAAGCATATGGTAGAACTTAACTTCTTATCAATGTTGAAAACAGTTGTATTTGTTAATATTTTTGTGGAAACTGATACATTTGAGGATTCGATGAATACAAATTCCAAAACAACAGCATTTATTTGAAATAGAAGTCTTTTTTTTTACCACTTATAAATGTCTTTACTGTTACTTTTGATCAATTTAATGCATCTTAGCTGAATAAAATATTAGTTCTATTAGAAAAATCTTACTGACTCTAAACTTTTGACAAGTACTGTAGATTGACAAAGACCATTAAAGTGACAGATTCACAGCACAGTGTGAAGTATAGAGGATGCATCGGTTCTCATGTGGTTCTCATGTGTTTACAGGATGATAAACTTCAGCTGGAGAGTCAGTTGATTCTGGCCACAGCAGAGCCTCTGTGTCTGGACCCCTCCATCTCTGTCAGCTGCACCACCAACCGTCTGCTCTACAACAAACAGAAGATGAACACACGATCCATGAAACGGTGACGCATTTAACTCTTTAGCTTCAGTGAAATATGTGTTTTGCTTGATCATCAGTTGTCCTTAAACTAAATCAAACTGTCTCTGATGAGTTCCTGTCGTCTGCTGCTCAGTGTGTCGTGTGATTGTTTGTGACTGCAAACATTTTGCACCCAAGGAATTGCTGAAACCCACAGAGCTTATGTTGATGTGCACAGTGTAGATCTTTTATTGTGTCTGTGGTTAGTCACCATCTGTGAACTGAAAAGCCGCTGCTGTTCTGATCTCTCATTGTATTGTTGTGACTAAAGGAATGTAAGTGGTTTTGACCAACACACGTTTAGTCTTCGCTCTATGCAGCTAACAAAAACAGTTCTTTTGCCTGTATAAGTTGAGTGCAAGAATCTGACGAGAATCTATTCCTCTGTTCTGTGAAAAGCTAAATAAGAGGACCATTTCATGTGGTTTATCAAAGTTAAAGGCTTCAAAACGTTGTATTGATACAGAGATATCCTGAAATTCAAAAGCAGGTGATCAAATCCATCATACATCAGTTATCCATCATTCCACGCTGATGGATGTCATATTTCTTCTCTCTGCAGGTGTTTTAGGAGGCATTCTCAAGCAGCACTCAACAGACAGCAGGAGATGATGAGCCACTGCCGTGCACTGCCACAGCTCCGACTCCTGGACTACCTGCAGAGGAGGAAAGAGAGGAAACCTGCTCCTTCCATAGACCTTAAGATCTCCAAAGCTGGAAATGTGAGTCAAAGACACAGACAGAATTTGCAAAGCTGTTTTAATTTCTGTTCTGATTTTGGGTAAATGGATTTAAACATGGTAAAATGTGAAACGTACAATGATACATTAAATTGATGATAAAAAAAACAATTTTAAATTTAAGATTTTTTTATTTAAATTTTTATATTTCATAAAATTGCTTTTTTTTTACTGTATTTTTATCAATTAAATGTAGCCTTAAGTATAAGGGTCTTTCAAAAATCTTACCAATTAAACTTTTGAACAGTACTGTGTTAATCAAATTTCTCATTTAAAGTGTTTTATTATATCTTTTTGTATGAGTAGTGTGGTTGTTTTCTGTGTTTTAATGACTCTTGTTTTTCCTGCAGTGTGTGGACATGTGGAAACAGAGCAGTTTTCAGCTGACTGTCCCATCAGAAATTGATGTGAGTTGCTGTAATGCAGTTAAATGAACGTACAAGTAGCATCTCTCTCTTTTCTGTAGGTCCAAAGCCATTTATAACAGAAATAACTTTTTTTTTTAATGAAATATGACTTTAAAAGTATTGTTAAGATAAATTTCACATTCTTTTGTGTCCTTCAGTATTCTGAGATGGGATGTTTGGATTTTTTTTCCTGTATCCAAATCTGTGAAACAAAGTTTTTCTTTGTGCTTCCAGGTGGAGAAATATGCAGTGGCTAAGAGCTCTGTCAAACTAGATGACACTCAGCCCACTGTTTGGCCTGCACAGGTAACACAATTGTGTAAATCTTAAATAGGAACTAGACTGTACATGGACCCTATAATATGCTAGTAAGAAAAAAACAGGTTTTTGTTGTTTTATCTGTGTGATATGCTGTCTTTGTCTTGGAACAGGACGTGAGAGACGATTACATTTTTGAGTGTGAGGTAGGAGGTCAGCCTCAAAGAACAAAAGTCACTATCTTCCAGTCTATGGGGGATCCACAGGTGTATGGGAAAATCTACAGCGCCAAAGACTCCAAATCAGAGGAGGATGTCACAGACCTACACCTCATTCACCCACCGTACATTTTACTATTTCATTTATTTCATTTCACTTATTTCACATTTATTCACATTCACATTATGTATTACATTACACTCTATTTTAAGATGAGAGTAACTTGTTATTAGTTATGCTTGCCTAATTGTTGCACTTACCTGATCTTTTATTTTCTCTGTGGTTTGTAGATTCCTCATAGGTTCAAAGACAGACGCTGATCGGTAAGTACAGGAGCCATGATTTGTTGTTTTGGGTCTTGGTTGCGCTCAACTGCCATGAAAATACTCCTGTGCCACAGGTTTCTGACGCAGTATAAGGAGGTGTATGAACGGGACGTTAAGTGTCAGGTGAAGATGTTGCACAACTCAGGCAGCACAGGGTCCCAAGGCCAGCTCTCCCCCTCCAGGGAAAACGAGGTGAGACACTTTGATATATGACGTTACATGTGACTGTTCCGACTCTGAAGACACGTTGCAAAAAAAAAAGGATTTTAATCTGATTTGGATCAGGTTTGTAAACATCAGATGTGTTTATTTTGCAGTTCAGGCTACAAAAAATAGATAAAAGGCAGATTTTATCTTTTTCTGCCTTTCTAAACAAATCCTAAGTGTTTGATTAGAGATTTATGTGACAGATTTAGAAAATGGGCACCAAAACAATTGCTTGAGCCTTAAAAAAAATCTACATGAATGTTATGACATTCTGGCATGATTTGGTCTAAGATTGGTGCATTTTGATGGATCTTGTTGATGCAGGCTGATGGTTTCTCAGCGCTTGTCCAGTCTTCAGTTTTAGGAAAGGGTGTTAAACACAGACCTCCTCCTATCAAACTGCCAGCCGGCTCAGCCTGCGCCTCCTCAGGTGAGACGAACGTAATGTATTAACAAGAGAAGAGCAGAATACGTATAAAAATACATATGTATGTATGTGTGTATATATATATATATATATATATATATATATATATATATACACACACACACACACACACACACATATATATATATATAGGGATTTATTTGATCAAAAATACAGTAAAAACAGTAATATTGTGAAATATTATTACAATTTAAAAAGACATTTCTATTCGAATATATTTTCAAATGTAATTTATTTCTGTGATAGCAAAGCTGAATTTTCAGCATCATTACTCCATTCTTCAGTGTCACATGATCCTTCAGAAGTCATTCTAATATGCTGATTTAATGTTCATTTTATATCAGTTATTATTGGTGCTCAGTTATTAAAAATGGTTCTTATTATTACCAACATTGAAAACAATTTTTGAGATAAATGTAGTTCAGGTCCGACCTCCATCATGTCTCAATCTCATTTCCTCTCTTCTATCTCAATATGTTTGTCTCTCCACTTTAAAAAGTGTACAAACAAACACTCCCTCCTGTTGTCTAGGTAACCCGTATAGTACACAGGCCTCAAGCGGCCATCTCAAGTGCCCGACCCCTCCACCCACGAAGAATCAGTCGCTGTCCCGGAAACACTCCATGGAGCTTAGCCTGCTGTCCCCTGCTGCTCTCTCGCCCATGCAGAGTGAGTATCACTCCATTCACAAATAGAAAGCTGTCACCGCTTGCTAATGCATTGCTTGCTAGCCAGATCTGTATTTTGTCTCTGATTTTACTCCATAGGATCAGGTACACCCAAGCCCTCCACACCCACACCCACCAACACGCCGTGTTCTACGCCACACCCTGCCGACGTTCAGAGTGCCACGCCTTCAGTAACGCCCACCCCTCAGGACCCCGCCCTTCCACAGCAGCCCACCCTGCTGACTCCCTTCGCCCAACAGCAGATGACCCTGCCTGTCATGACTATTCCCCTGCACACGTCCAGCACCACATCTTCACAGGTCATGACAAACCCCGCAGGGCTCAACTTCATCAACGTGGTTGGCCCGGTTTGGTAAGAACCCATGTTTGTGACTTTTTTTGGGGGATGTGAAAGGAAAAAAATGGTGACTAACCACCTCTGTTTGTGGTTTCTTACAGCAGTCCGCAGACTCTGATGAGTTCTAACCCAATGCTGGGTTGTAGTCCTGGTACTCTGGCGTCTGGTATACCCCTGAGTGGACTATTGCCCTCTGGTGGTCTCATGTCTGGAGCTCTTCCTGCCATGCAGCCTGCTGCTCCAGCAGGTAAACTCTCTGTGAATTCCTCCCTGTTTTGTCAGATGTTCATTAGTGACTTTTACAATTGTCAACCACTATTGTGGAGAGTAAAATTATCATGTTGTTTCAGCAGGTGGGCCTTTTGGCCTGAACAACAGTCCTGGACTGCGACCGCTCAACCTTCTTCAGGTGAAAGAGCTTTTGTAGTTGAAGTATTGGCTTTTGTGGAGATGATTCTCTCTTTCCCTCCCATTTATGTTTGTGTTTCCCTTTCTTTCAGCTCCCTACGGGACCACTGATTTTTAACTCTCTACAGCAGCAGCAGTTGTCTCAGTTCTCCCCTCAACAGCAAAGCAGTCAGTCCGCCACATCCAGCCCCCAGCAGCAGGGGGAGGCGGTGAGTCAGACACCGCTGTCATTTCCAGAGGCTGAGGATCAGCTCCAAGAGTGTTAAAGATATAGTTCATCCAAAAATGAAAATTCTGTTCCATGGAAGTCGATGGCTACTGTCAACTGTTCGGTTACCAACATTCTTTAAAATATCTTCTTTTATTCTCAAAAGAAGAAAGAAACTGTTCCTTTAATGTGTGTAAATCTGAATCACTCGTCTTATTTCAAATGTAAAGCTATATTATATTAAATTACATTTAGAGAAAAAAAATATATATATTTTTTTTAAATAATATATTTAACATCATTTATATTACATTACATTTTCATTATATACTTGTATTACATTTATATACAGATGATAGAGAGATGAAAGATATGTTTGGGAAAACTAGTGGTATAGAAATTACGTACTTTTTAGGGCTGTCAAAATTGCTGAAAAACTAAATTCGAATTTTGTACTTAAATATGATCAAAATTCGAATTATATTCGAATTTAAAATGCATAATTTCAGTTAGGGTGAAGAAAAGCTTTTGGCTTCTCTCCTGACGCCACAAGAGGGCGCATCCACCAATGCACGTTTATTCAAAGCATATAAGATAACATGACTATCTGTGAAAAAAGTGCATAA